CCCCCGGCTCCCTTCCCCCCATTGCCCTCATACTTGATTCTGAGATGAGGGGTTCCCCGCCCCCATGTTAAATGGGGAAGAGAACGTCATCTTTAGAATCAAGTAAATACGGTAACCATTGTTCAGAATTCAGCACCCCAAGCCCCTCGTTTACCTTAGCAGGAGCTCCTGACCTCAGCAATTTTGAAAATCAGGGTTTTTCAATGTGGACGTAGTGTCTGAGCTGCAGGCTCCTGTTTGTTTTTTTTAATCTTGGACTTTATGCATGAAATAGAATATGCATATGTCTGAAAAGAAACTTCTAGATTTAAACCTTGCTTTGCAGCATCCTTATCAGTACAGAGGAAATTTGGTCCATAGACTACTGGGTTCATGATATTGAACAATTTCTTGCTGATTTTTGCAGTGTGCTTAAAACAGATTCCAGTTAGCATGTGAGTAACATCATCTAGGTCCTGGTTCCTTTTAGTTCTGGCACTGCTTTTGGCTCCTGATGCAGGTTGGCCCTGTTTTTCAAAATGTTGATACTGAATCCAAATGTAACTGTGGGTGGTACATATGTTGAGCCTTTACTGAGTAGTTTTGGATTGCCAGTCTTTTGCAATCATATAAAAAAACCCCCAAGAAATCAAGTAAAATAAAAGGCAGCTAGCCCCATCTGCATGCATACCACCATTCTCCCCTCCCTTTTTGCTTTTCCTTTTTGAAAACATTTTAATGTGATGGGGGCATCGGCAGGCTTTAAAGAGGCTCAGAGCAGTAAGCAATATTACAGTTTCACTTTTACTATCTCTTTTGTCATGCTCTGGTGGCCATTGAGTCTTTCTGGAGCACTGATCAGAAAATAACGCAGAAACCGAAGGGCTGTAACCAAACTCTGCATATTGTTTTGTTATCAGGGGGGCTAAGTTGAATTGCCTGCTTGTCTTGAAGAGGGATTATGCTAGCAGCTTTTATAAACCAAGAGGTTCTTTCACTTCTGGGCATGTATGTTTTTATACCTATCACAATATAGGATCTGTATATATAGCACAATCTCTATAAACAACACAGGTAGGCATAAATGCAATTTTATTATGTGAAGTCAAGTGAAATAGTCCAGAAGGTTGTAGCTTGGGTGAAATGTACATATGCACAAAGTACAGGAGGTTTTGCACAGTAGGAACTTCACAGCTTCCTTCCTCTTCCCCAATGGAATCGTTGAGTTGCTAGCTGAAAAACTGTCCTTTACCATTCTCCTGCAGGAAACCACATACTCATATATTATTAATTCTGTTTGGCTAGTGGTGTAGGGCTTAGGTACTTGTCAAGAGAGTCTCATGTTGCTTCTCAATATATGAGTGCCATTTCTACTGTGAAGGTTAAAATTCTAACCACTTTATGCATCAACAAAAATACGCTTGAGATGAGTCTTGATGAGATGAGTCTTGATGCCCACATTTCGAGAAGCTGCAGAACAAATAACTTGAGCCTTGTGGGTCTTAAACTCTTAGTTGCTCCCCTCAGGGTCACAAAGCCGCCATTTTCCATTCCTGATCTTTGAATGAAGCAAGTTTGCTTCACCACTTCCAACTTGGCCTCTTCTGTCATCAGAGACCCCATAAAACATTGTGCCAGTCCTGCTGGCTGTCTTGGGGTGTGAGGGAACATTTCTGAAAAATATTTAAACAAAGTTGATTAGTTTTCTTCTTTAAGTACTAATGGTGTCTCTTGGGCTGTCCCTGGAGGCATAAAAACTAGGTTAGGATTTTCTAGCGTCATTTAGATCCACATAATATGGAATCAAATTAAGTCCTTTTTTGCCTAGGATCAGAGTACAACTGCCTCAACCTCCCCATGGTTGGGGATGTTTCATTAGGGCTCCCTGCATCATAGGTCCAGTTGAGGGTGGTGACATTTACCTTCAGCATAGCAGCCAGGAAAGGTGAATTGGTGAAGGAGGCAGAATCTTTTTGATGAGAACGAGGGAGGCAGCAAGAAGGACACTTATGACTCGCATCCTTTCTTGGGGAGCTACACGCTGCTCCATGTTCAGGGTCCATTTTTCCCCCATAGATCTGGATCTGCTTCTGATCTCCCACAAGAAGATGCCACTTGAAAGTTGTCTCTACAGTATCCATTGAGGAGCCCTTCATAGCATTTTTCCACTATAATTTCATATAAGTTTTCCCTTTTGTGCTTCCCTATACCTCCTCTTCAAGCCCCCTCTGTTGATGTATTCCAATGTGGTAACCCTACTCGCAAGAGGAAGTCTGCCAGTCATATCTTTGTAGAGTGGCAGCCTTGGTCCTTTATGCTTTTTCTTTGAGAGATCCTTTCTGTGGCCAGTGACTCCCAGTGATGCTGCTAGTGTTTCTTCTTGAGTCTGTGTTCTGCACAACAGACTTTATTACAGCCATCAAGCAACTAGCATTTCTTTCTGTTAGGCTTGATGTGCTAAGATGATTTGATATGTCTCATAAAAGAAATCTCAGTTTTTGATTATTTGAGATGCAAATAGACTAATTTTTTTAATGGACAGTTATTTTGTCCTCGAGAAGGTAGAAGGCAATCATTCCAAGAAATCATTCTTCAAGTATATATTAACTTTCGCTCAAAGCATAATAAAGATTCAGTTTTGCTAGCTACCTAAGTTGCAACTCCCAGTTGCAAACCATATGGGCTTTTTTCTTTGTCTGTAGTAAAAATGCATCCTGCAACTATAGAAGCTACTCGCCATCACCTTCCCAGAATATGGAGGCTTTTATTGTACAGTAGACTTAATCTGCTTTGGGAGCTGCATTTCAGTGTACAAGATAACTAATAGACAATTGTTTGGGTTTTTTTAAATAAAATATTTTTACTCTCTGCCTATGAAACAAAAGCCAATTATAAATGCTGATTTTTGACTCTATCTGGCAAAGCAAAGAAATGTCAAGATAAGGCTTAAATTTCATGCCTGTATGGCTGGCTGCCTCTTAATCATGACTTACCACGTTGTGCCCAGGTAATGCAGCACATAAAGTATGCAATGCAAGACTGCACTGATCCCAGTTCTGTGCAATATTTCAGTGAGGCAGGGGGAGTTGAATTACAGCTGGGTTTCAATATAGGATTGCAGCCTTAATTTTTAATTTCCTAGCTTCTGCTGGTTTGTGTCACAACCTTAATGTTGTTTAAACCTAATTGAATTTGATTCCCATGCGTTCAAACAGCCAGTCCAGCTCCCGAGCTGAACATCAGGTGTTGAGGCTCTGGCTGAACCTGACAAGAGGGTGCACTGCTGTGCATTCCCTTCTCACACTTGTCCATTCCAGTTCAGTGATGAATCCTGATTTGTTCTCTCAGGTGATGACTGTCATATTACCCAAAGGGTCATTGGGGAGGGGAGGAAACAGCAAACTGGAGAAGGGACAGACATTTATGTGTGTAAAAACAGGAGGGGGAGGTGCAACCTACTGTCTTTTGGGGGACTGTATGCCCAAACCCTGGTAGTGCCCTATCACCCTGTCCTGCATGCAAGTTGTGCAGTGCAAAATTATTCTTAAGCTAAAGCTTTGTGTTACCTTTTTACCCCATCAGTGTCAAAAATCAGGTGTGTAAAAGGTAGCAGACATGCAAAAACACAAGCAGGGCCTAAGCCCACCTTCTCCTCTCTCAGCAATTTCAGAGCTGTTGTGAAACACAATTTCTGGCAATCTTCAGTGTTACAGCCAAGATCAAGTGAGCACTAAATATCCTTCTGAAACTCTTCACAATGCAAACCTTGCTTTGGTATAAACAGCTTGTGAAGGTGAGAACAGGATCCAAGAGCTGGTTCACACATCAGCCCTCTACAATCTCTGCTCTTTCTCAGTTTCAGATTAATAATTTGAATCCAATCATTGCTTTGTATGGCGCTGTATTTATTCTTATATGGTTAATGCCATGACCAATAATATATCAGCTATGCCAGTACATGTGCCTAATTAGGATGTTGTTCCAATTTACTCTCTTAATAGAAACAAGATTGGCTTGGTAAATACTTTGTTTTTTACATTCACTTTTCTTTCGGTCAAATAGCACAATTCTGTAGGGACAAATGTCTCCATGGGGAAAAAAGCAAATTGACAGCTTGATGCAAAGATGGGAGTCTCTGGGAAAAATAATAATAAAAAGAAACACGGCTGTGTGTGTCGGGGCATTGGGTCACTAATTGAGTGCAAGCTTTAAAAAAATGTTGTTTATCCCCCCCCCACAGGGCATACAAGACCATTGAGGAAGATGACTTGAAGTTTCCTCTTATATATGGAGAAGGCAAGAAGGTGGGCATGTGTGCTTTCTTCGAACTGAAGGGATAAAGAACGCAATGCTGTTTACCACTCAGTTTAGCCTGTGGCAATTCAGTGTTTTCCACTCAGTATCTCTTTATTTTATCGTTTTGACAGCTTGAAAGAATATTGCGTCTGTCACAAATCAGTCTCTGCTGTCAGTGTTGCAGGGGCAGTGCAGTATATTAAAAAGCAGTTTTATAATAAACTTAGTCATTTGCTGCTCAATTTGATTTTGTTTTCTTACACCCAGCTTTGTAAGAAGATTATTTTGTACTGTCGTAAATAATTAGGCCAGAGCCTCTCAGTCAAAAGACTGATTATACATGGAGTTTTTCTGGGTTTAGTTGTAAAAAGTGGATCAGCTGGGCAAAGACAAAATGCATTGTGTTTTCCAAATAAATAGTGTGTGGGAGGGTGTTTAAACCATTTTGCAGTGCACTGAAATCCTAACTTAAGGAAGGGAAGAGGGTACATGGTTAGTGTGATACTTCCCGAAGGGTATCAACTTAGACTGCTGTCACAAGAACACAACATGCAATCTTTCTGCAAAAATGCTTGTGTAAAAGAAAAATGGTAATGCTTTCTGAGTGTCAGTGTCTCCAGTTGCATGATTATGAACAGCAAGATTATTAGTGCTGATTCCAGCAAGCTTAGCTAGACACAGCAATAGGATCAATAGAAGGGCATGGAGGTCTGTTTGCTGATATTGGTATGCTTGCTGTGTTTCTAAACAGCACTTCCCCCCACTTTGGGTTCTTATTTGAATACAAAAATATGCAATCTACAGAACTGTTCTGTTTAAGAGCAGTTCAGATCCGTTTATCTCAGACCAGCTTATCTGGAGGGTTAATTTGGATTTTTTTTTCTTTTTTGTTTTATGCAGCATTTTGCATATGTCGCTTTTTCATTTATTTTCTCTTTGTTTGTGGATTTAGTGTTTTACTATGCAATGCTATTTTGAGTCAGCAGGGTGGCTAGCTGGCATCAGGAGAATAAGGCAGCCCCAAGACCTCCCCTAGCTGGGGGAGCTTAGAGGTATAACAGGTGGGTAGTTGGGAAAGGAAATTTCTTGGGGGAGTGGTTGATGTCCTGGTGGAAAACAATCTAGCTTCAGGGATCAGGGGTCAGGGTGGGAGAGAGGAAGTTTTGGTAAGATTCATCTCCAAAACCTTTGTTGTTCTCAAGAACATCCTTTGGCATTGTGTCAGTAACTTGAATTTGTCCTTTTGGTTCTTGGCTTGCCAAAGGGCACATGTGACAACACTCCAGAGTAAAGAAGTACGTTGTTTCCTTGAGAAGCAGGAGCAGATGCACTCTTAAGACATATTCATTTTGATAACTTGTCTTTGTTTTTAAAACCTTCCTCTCACTGTCCCCTCAGCAACTGCCTTCTTTCCAGGCAGTCAGCGGGATAGGAAATAACATCACTCTAAGAAATAGCTATTTATATATTCAGGTAATGGAGTGATTATTGACTAAACTTCTTGATGTCTGATACAATTTAATATTATTTAGCTTGCTAGCAGAATTTGAGCACTTTGGAGACCTATTAGGACCCTAGAGAGAACACAATCTAAGGTTTAGCCAATACATAATACAGAATAAACAGGCAAATGGGGAAGTTAGGAGACTCAAAAGATGGAAAGTCACTGTGTTGTTCCAGTTAATTTCCCAGTCTTGGAAAGAAGAACGTGAAAAGGAAGGAAGGAAGGTAATTCTTTCAAGCTCCTAACTGTTGTGTAGGAGGGTCACTTTCTTCTCACTGCCAATGCTGTATATTGAGAGCATTTTTATACTAATGCATTTCTGTCATTTCCAGGCTCGAGTTATGGCAACTATTGGGGTAACTAGAGGACTTGGAGACCATGACCTAAAAGTGCACGACTCCAATATCTACATCAAGCCCTTTCTGTCTTCAACTCCTGAGGTAAAGCATCCTTGTCCTTGATATATGATTTATGGGAGAGAGAAAATAAATTCAACTAAGTGCAGTTTGTGCATCCCAAATGTTCTTCCACTCTTGGCGTTATCTGAAGTGTTGGCCTTATCACATGAAAGCTGTATGCGTCCCAAGAAGAAGAGGAAGAAACAACAGGGGTAATATTGTACAGTAAATAATAATGTAATTAACATTCCCATTCTGTGGATGTGTCTATACGTACAATTAGGATGTAGCAGTACACTCCAGCACAGTTCGTGGTGGAGTTTATTGCTCCCAGGTGCAGTGTTTGTACGTGCTCCTGGGACCACAACATGTTGAGCTGGAGCAGAGCAGCCCCTGCTGGCAGGGGTTTCCGGGGGGGTCAGCCTGCCAGCCTGGGGATGCTCTGACCTGGCTCAATGTGCTGCGGAGGGGCTGATTGGGGCATGAGGGTGCTATAGTGTGGGGCTAGCCGGCAGGCAGCTCCTGCACTGCCGTGCTTTCGTGTCACAGCCAGATCCATCACTGTGTTTTGCTGCACATAATTACGCCACTATAGGATAGTACTTGTCACGCAGTAGTATCCTACAGCGGAATTAAGTGTGGCCTTATAGCTCCACACTTGTAGATGGTGATGCTTTACTGCAGAGCTAATTAGTCAGCTCTGCAGTAAAGCATCCCATGTGGACGTGACCTGTTTCACCTAGTGGTGGGTTCTACATATCTCTATCATGGCCCTGATACCTTCTTACCTTCTGTCCCAGTATAGGTTGCTGCTGCTGCATCTTGTCACTGCATAGCAGAACAAGGTAATGCCTGTTTGCCTTGAGCAAGCAGCTGCCCTGGAGAGGAGGGAATATATGATACACAAGATGGTGTAATTTCCATCAGTTAAGTTTTACCCATCCTGGGAAAAGTTACCCAGCTGTAGGGCACTGCACC